GGGAAAGAAATTGATTCTGAGCTTTTTAGGTGCAAAGCATCAGCTGAGTGTCTTCACTAACCATGGACCCTAAATAGACATGAAATGAACATGCATTTGTGTTGTTTATTCATGATAGCACCATGTAACTGCAGCAGAAAACAAGTGAGAGGCAAGCTTACTGCAGTTCTTGTACCCAGGAAACCAACAGGCAACTTGGTGGCTCCTTCTAAACCTCCTTCCCACTTTTATCTTTGACAGCACAAATTCTCTGTGAAATGAATTTTTTTCCCCTCAATAATTCATTTGCAGAATTAAAACATATGTGTGTGCACTGCCATACATTGAGATGCACGTGTAAAATCTTTCTGTATCAATGCTTCTTTGAAACCTTGCCTTCATATGTATTATTTAAAAGAAATGAGAGGAGAGTTTAGGCTAATCTGACAGAGCAAGGAATTAATTTTCATAAATGAGGTAATTTAAACATAAATTTTTCACCATTTTTCCTATTTAGTCACAAGAATGTAATCCAGTGCAGTAGGTTATGTGTAAATGAGACCAGAAGGTGGCCCAAAATCTTAAAATCTGTTGCATCTCTCTTTTAACTGCTCCTTGTCTGATCTCCTGTCTCTTATACCAAGCATGGTAGCTAATAGAAGTAGTATGTGAACCACTTGCTGGCAGTGACTCCTTTGGAGGTTTTCAAGTGCATTTTCAATGAAAAAATAGTTAAAGATGGAGTAAGTTTTTAACTTTATTTGTATCTTAAGCACTTGCTGGAGTTTTTAAAAGGAGGAGGTGATCTAAGTTAAGAAAATTCAAGGGGTCCTCAGTGCCAATCACTAAAAAAACTGATAGCATGGATAAAGTAAAAGCTGCCACTCCCTTTGCCCTGCTCAAGTGAGATCCAAATGGTCTCTCTTCACACTACAAAATCCTCCATTTTTCTCTATGTTGGAGCTAAAGGCATCTTCCAGAAGCTTACCCTGCTGCAGCAGAAAGGAGAAGTAGCCACCCCTCTGCACTATGTGTGAAGCTGTAGAAATGACACTCCTTTTACTCACACCCATTTCCCATGGAAACCCAACCAACATAATCAACAGGGCCCAGGATTCTCTGTTCTCCACAGATGTTCAGAGGTGTTGTCTGCCACCGAGGGACAGCAGATAGGGGCTGCCTTAAGAACACACAGATTTTCTTGTATGTTTTGTGACTCTTAAAGCAACAATTTTATTTTGACATCTTGTGTTTAATAACGTTTGAGTTGGGAGTAGCTGTCTGCCTCATACTCTTGGAGCAGGGTGTTGTGCTGAGCTGAGCACAGCAGTGACCCAAAGCCACAGTGAACCCGTGGCACAGTCAGAGCTCCGGTAATTGTTTTTAAATAAAGCTGGTAAATACAGCAGCATATTGGCTCCCCAGAAATCGATAGCTCCCCCCTCCCCACGCCTGAAAGGAAGGCACAAGCATGGTTCAGTTATCTGCCACGGTGTGGAATTTAACAAGGTTAGGATTTTCTGGTTTCCCATCACTGGCCTAAGGTGGAATAAAATGTGCTTATAATATCGATTTGCTAATACACTCTCCCCGCTCTAAATGTCTACAAAAAACAATTTTTCTTCTTTCCATAGACTTAATCAGTAGCAACGATATAGAAAATCCATTCATTTATGCCTCCTGAGCTATTAAAAAATTGATTGGCCTTCCCAGCCTGACATTTCCATTTTCAAGGCTTACTTTCGAAAGACAATGGAGAAATTTAAAAGAGAGCTTCAGATGGTAAACTGAAGTTCAGCTGCTTTGGTGCCATTGAAGACCAGGGGAAGGTTTCTCATTTGCATTTTAGAAGCTGAATTGGGCTGATCTGAAGAGGATAAGTGCTACATGTATGCAGCTTTTGAAGTCTTAGGGGCTGGGACAAAAAAATATAACACACAAAAAGAAAGATTCATGTTTACTTTTGAAATGGAACTTTGACTCCCAGGTCACTTCTTTAAAATTTAATGTCTGGTCCTATGCAGTAAGAGAAAGGCAGGCCTGTTCTAGAGCTGTATAGCTTAGGTACCCGAGCAGGTTGTCACCAGGGAGGCAACCATGGCTCTAATCAGCATCACTCATGGAGTTTCTTGCCTCCATTCTTCAAGAATCTGAAGCCATCAATCCCTTTGGGTACACATCCCAAAACTGTCGTAATTGAGAATCACTTGGTGAGTGAATCCTTGGCCTTTTAACCTCGCCAGCCTCCTTTTAGGCCTTAAGGGAAATGAGGCTGCTCCTTTGCATTTAGGGTATTCTCTGCTGAACAGTGTCCTGCCTCACAGCTGGGACCCGTGAGAGAGCAGCAGTTCCTGTTTAGGGTGACACTTGACCTGTGTTGCCTCTCGCCTTCAGGCAGAGGGGACTTGGCAGGTGAGGACAGAGGCTGCAGCCAGAGTGAAGTGGGGAACAGATCCCCTCTGAAATGCAGCTACCAGGAGGCAGCAAGCACATCTCCCAAGGACAGATAACCTCCTAGCCCTCTGCTGACCCTCACCTGAAACAGTCATTTATTCCCTCAGCACAGCAATCTGAAATCCTACTGTGATGCAGAAGGCTCCTACAGATTCTCTCTTGTGTAAAGACCTGTTAGTTAAGATTTACAGGTTTCTGAGTTGTTTCTCACCTTTCTCCCTTTTTGGTGCAGGTTCTCCCCAGGAGATAGCAGCAGCGAGAAACCAAGCAGCCCTCCAGAGCATGAGGACGTCGCGAATGCTGGCGCAGGGCGCGAGCATGATGGCCATGGGTCCCTCACAGAACCCCAGCACGCTGCCCACGCCCGCAGGCCAGTCAGAGCTGGGCATGGCTCCCTACAGCAACGCCTCCTCCAGCCAGCCCGGGATGTA